ATGAGGTGGTTCTCCAGAGGGAACAAATTGTAGTATCATGAGGCTGCATTTGTGGAGGCTCAGTATTTTATTTATTTATTTATTTTTTCACTAAGCTGTTGGTCTGTGTTTGTGTGCAGCTGCTGTATTCTCCCATTGAGAACATCCAGCGTGTAGCAGCAGGCGTCCTGTGTGAGCTCGCTCAGGATAAAGAGGCCGCTGAGGCCATCGAAGCTGAGGGAGCCACTGCTCCACTCACAGAGCTATTGCACAGCCGCAATGAAGGAGTTGGTATGTACCCAAAACACTCATTTACACAACGCTATCAGTCACATAATAGCTGCATTTAACTATGCAGATGTTCAGAAGTGCCAGTCTAACTGTGCAATGAGGGGATTTAATTGGATAACACGCTGGCACTTGGAAATAATTGTTTGTGTTTTCCTGGAAGACTCTTTAGTGTGATGTGGACCTAAAGTGGCATCTTGAAAATTTACAGCTCTAGCGGTTCAATGTAGCTGCTGCTTTTTGTTCAGTAACTCTCTTTTGTTCAGGCTCATCTGCTATCATGCAGAGACGCACTGTGGGCTTGTGTTGTAGCACATGGTTGAAGAATCTAAGTAGGAGCCAAGCTTGCTCTTAAAACAGTTATATTTATGGTGACAACTTCATTATATTGTTGCATATATGTAAATGTCACAACACTTGGATCAGTGTAGTCCAGTCTCATGTGCAGCCTGGGCCTCTAAATGATGCGGAGAACGCTAGTTGAATAAACTTTCTAGTCATGGGTAATACCTAGTCTATTTTGTTAACCCTGACAGCTGTATTATGGCCATTTTAAGTGCTTTTGTTTTTAAAGGCTAAAAATGTGTTGGCTAAGCAGTCATGCTTCCATCTTTCTCAGCCACATACGCAGCAGCAGTTTTGTTCCGTATGTCAGAGGACAAACCTCAAGACTACAAGAAGCGCCTCTCTGTAGAACTCACCAGCTCGCTCTTCAGGACAGAACCAATGGCCTGGAACGAGGTGCGACACACTTTTACACAAACTGTGTAATGCTTATTTACATTGTGTAGTCAGTTACAAAGACATGCACAAGTGTTTGTGTAATTGAAACTTTGTCAAATGTTTGCCATGTGTTGCTCTGCAGACAGCAGATCTGGGTTTGGATATCGGAGCTCAGGGTGAGCCTCTGGGCTACAGACCAGAAGGTAAGTCACTCATTTGACACTTGCAAGCAAAGCAGAAGACAAAGGCTTCCCAACTATTACTGCAGTCAAGATAAAAACAGTTGAGCTAATTGTCAAACTGGGGATGCTCTAAATGCCTTCTTTGGAAGTCTTTGTACATCTGTGGGCTTAATTTATTATTAAGTTGATATACTCATCTTATCAAAAATGTGACCTGATCTTCATCAGAGTCAAAATTACAGATACGCAATCTGACACAGCTATTACAAATTTGTGTGTCACTAATGAACTTGAAAATATGACTTAATGAAGTAAACCACTTGACCAACAACTTCTCTAAAGATCTACTCGGGGTCGAGATCTTCTAATGAGCTGACACTTAGTGTTTGAGTGTTTCATCTTGACCCAACTGATGATGCATGACCTGAAGGAGGTCTACTGTTAGATATTAGCAAACTAAAGAGTTCATGTTCCTCCTCAGTGTTGTGCAGCTTTATTATAAACAACTTCAGGAGACATCAGATGTAGGTTGGTGCTGTTACAGAAGCTTCTAGCAGTTTTTAAATTTAAGGATCCACTTAAATGTTCCAGTCTGCACCAAGTGATTCCTCAGCATGTTCCAGAAAGACATGAAAAGTGTGTTACTACTTCAGTCAAATTGTTTAAAATGGTCTTTAATTCTGACCTGGCTGAAGATCAGACCATCTCTTTAATTATTACCGGCGTCCAGGATTTTGGACACTGTGCCGATCAGTAGGCTAGAGGGCAAGCTGGCGTTGGTTTTAATTTGCAATGCTCTCCAATTCTCCAGCAGTAACAGCTTTAATTGACTCTTCGTCAGCCAAATGAAAACAGACTTGATGTTGATAGATTTAGAAAAGGCCCTGGCTACTGCAAATGCATTCCTGTTGGTGGAAACAACTAAACGGTGACCTGAAGCACAAGTTTAGCTGAAATAAGAGTTAACAGCTTTGGTTTGATTTGGTCTGCTGGAGGGTTGACCGTGTGCTGTGTTGATTTGCAGTGTTACATTTCAGTGATCATACTACTGTGTGTCAGCTTGGTTTGTTAACTTGCTTCTAACAACTGCTCTGCTTCACCTGCGTCTCCTCCATCCATTCCTCCTCCACCAGACCCAAGTTACCGTTCTTTCCATTCGGGGGGTTACGGAGGGGACACAATGGGTATGGAACCCATGATGGATCATGACTTGGGTGGAGGGCACCACCCTGGCCAGGACTACCCCCCTGTAGAAGGGCTGCCTGACCTGGGACATGCCCAGGAACTGATAGAGGGCCTGCCACCTGGCGACTCAAACCAACTGGCCTGGTTTGATACCGACCTGTAAATACCAAGACCAACATTACACTACACTTTCTACTAGGTAAGATTTACTTGGTACCCCCAACCCCCAACTCTGTGGCCTCGTGTCAGCTGAACAGAGTGGTGTTCATTTCAGAGGTGGTTTCTGGATAAAGAGCCCGAGGACTGGGGGAAGTGTCGGTTTACTCCTTGTGCCTGCTGCATGTTCAGACTGCTCCAAATTACAAAGCTGTGTGATGTGGTGTCTGTGAAGTTACTTTGACTTGTATTTGATCTGTATGTGTGGTCCTTCACCCAATGCCTGCCATGCCTCCTCCCCACCGCTCATTTCTCCTCTGCTCTCCCCTTGCAGCTGTATCATGTGATCTGGATGAACCTGCATCGTGATTCGCCCATATGGAGGAGGCGAGGTTTCAGAAGTGCCTGAAGATGACTCAACAACAGCAAGCAGAGTTTCCCGTCTACGGGGACTCCATTGGGACAAACTAGATTTGAGTGCGGTTTGGTTCTGGTTTCAGCCTGATGGGGGCTGACCTCAAATCCTGACATGACACACAGATTTTTCAATAATTAGTTTTCAAATCCCTTTTAATGTAATTTTTTTTTTCATTTTTACTTTATTTTTACTTTTTTATTCCGTTTTCCTTAAGTCTGTAATGGTACAACTGAATCTAGCTTGCTTTTTCCATTATTCTGAATTATGATACTCATCTCTTGTTTTTGCAGTCCCTTGTATTTTCAGTCTCTGGTAGTGTTGAGTTATTATTTTTATTTTATTTTATTTTTTTTAAGTGGTAATGCTCCATCCAAGTAAAGGATCTGATCACATTTTAAATGGTGTCCAAACACTAAAGTTAATCAGTTGAATTGTATTCTGATGATCAAGTGTAACATTGTGTAGCTTTTGTATAAAAACATGAATTGGAAATCATGGTCCAAATATCAAGCTATTTTCTTGCTTTAAAGGGAGACACTGATGTCTCTGCTGTTCCAAAGGGGGTGTAGCTGACCTAGCTGGGTGGGAGTGTCTGAAAGGACAGGGGTGGAGGAGGGCTCCTATTGGTCTGCTGTAAGTGGGTGGGGTAGTGAGAGGAGCTGGTTGCTGTAGCCTGCTGTGTTCTGAAACAATAAAATGGACTGTCATTTCAACTGTATGCCTTTAAGTCTCATTTCTACTCAAATCAAGGATTAACATGAGACACACTTGAAGTCGTTTCAGGGAGCAGGGGTATCAAACATAAAGGCTTGGGGCCAAGAATTGGCCTGACAGACACACATTTGGCCCACCAGACAGCTTTGGAAATTGTAGAAGGGCATAAACCTTGGACCTAACTATTTAATACATTTTAGTTTTTCCTGCTGACAGACCTCCTGCGTACTACACTAAAAGATTTTCGTTGTTTACAAAGGTTCCACAGTGAAATGAAATGGGGCCTTCTCTGAATATAAACCCAAACAGTTGGACTTCATGTAGATGTGCTGTTGACATTGCATTTTCTTATATTACAGTATCTCAGAGATTAAATGTGTAGTGCAACTTCTTTACACTGACAGGAAGGGCAGTTTCAGTGGTCAGACCCACTTAAGATCAAAGTGGGCTGCATGTGGCCCACCATGTAAAATGAGTTTGACATCCCTGGTCTGGAGCCTGCTGCATTAGTTTTACACTTATTGACGGGAAGGTGAGGAGAAACTGATGTGCCAGCAGTCCACCTGCTGTGTGTTCACTGAGACTGTTGAAATCTACTTAAACTGTGTACAGTGGCAAGTTGGGTCCAGCTTTAATGCGATAAGTCAAAGTTGCAGAAAATTCAGTGTGCTGTGAACTAAAAGCCTGCTGGTGGTGTCCACGTGTGGATGTCTAGGATGGTGGTACATGGACAGCTGAGGTAGCTTAAGGACATATTCAATGACTAAGCATAATCTTTTTAACATGACCTCTACCTCACCTATTTAACCCGACTTCATCCAGCTTCTTGGAACATTTAAGTGTCATTCTTTCATTTTAAGTTCAAACACTTCTCAGTAATGGCATATTTAATTATGCAAAGTAATTATATCCAGTTAAAAAAATTGGGAATGTAACAGTAGGCAGAGATCAGGTATACACTGGATTATACACAGGAAAATGACTTAATTAGAATGATATGACCTAACTTGTGTAAAAGCAGAGATGGATGATTTATGCACAACTCAGTTGATGTGATGAACCACTTTGGTATTAATGGTTTTTCACGGCACTAGTCTGCTACAAGTAAACAGAACAACTTCCTTTTTAGTGCTGGAATACCAACAAAAAAGAGTTTGTAGATGTCGCCATTAGCTTCATGTTATTACAAAGTAGAAATCTATGACTCGTGATGGCATGCGTGATCTAATATTCTGTCACTGCTGATGACACAAGGTGTGTTGACACACTCTGAGGTCAGTGTTGTGATGCCAATGACAGTCTAAATTAACACTCATGCTGTAATCCTGTGAAGTTAGATGAACACCGGAAACATGTTTTGATTGCCCTCTCAAGACATTTTAGTGACACACTAATATTTGTTACTGCCACTGATCCAATTTGAAATGATGACAGTCATATGGAGGCATGGCTGAATGCTCTGAAAGCTTTTAGGATTCAGAGATCTCTTGAAGGATATCAGCAGCCAGGCCAGTGACATCAGTGTGATACCTGTGATGGGGAAACATAAAAAATGAGTAGTATTACTGGCATGCTATCTATCCAGTGATAATTAACCGTTGATGAGCGCAAACAGCTTAATCAAAGACACAATTACAATAAAATAGATCAGGGTTCTTAGGCATGCTGAGCAATGAAACAGGTGCAGCCACTTAGCATGGTACTGAGTGGACTGAATTAGTAATTAGACTACTACATTTATTTCCGCTCCGCAAACATAAAACTTTACATCCCAATTTCAGCCCACATGAACCTGTGCTTATTAAATAGATATTTTATGTGCTCTGTAGTAAGACAATTAAAAAACATATACAAGTGTATAAATAATGATTTTCACAATTCTGTACAAACATACATCTATATATGATAATTAAGACTTGATGAAAACATCCAATCTGCCCAGGCCCCTCTACGCTGTCTATAATTTACTCCTGCTCTCCCCCTCTTATCACCCCCCTCCCCCCTCCACTTACTCCCAGGTGTCTTTGGGGGCAACCTGACAGCCAGGCCAGAAGAAGCCCACCCACCCCTCTTAGTTAATTAAAACCTACATAATTAACCTAATTAACACATTTCCCAGAGGCCTTGGAAACCCTTGAAAGTTTGTGGATCTGGAAAACATAAATTGGGTCCATAAAAGTTTTAGGACAAACTTTAGAGTTTGGTTACTCATTAAATCCTTGCACTCTTAACAGCCTCAAATTGACACAGCTGCACAGAGAACAGCGGAAAATAAAATAATTGGTTTTAGATTACAGTATCGCATTAGCCTCACACTCTGCTTACACCAACATGTGGGATGTCTGCTGTGTGGAATCTGTGTGCTTTCCATTATTTAAGAAAACAAACAAACAGAAGAACTCATCAGAAAGAAGACAATCATCTGCAGTTCCTTTAGCGGTAGACTCACTCACAACTCAACCCAAAGATTATTGTTGTTGTTGTTTTTGTTCAGATTAAATAAACAACTAAATGATTTCAAAAGGTGAGTCTAAGAGTTTCCGCTGCCTTCCACTGCTCCTGCTGTGCTGTCAGTCCCACTCTGTCCTCTTACAGTTTTGATTCTGCACTGATTTCTGTAGAAATGCAGCCCTTCAACTTGAATTTCTGTTTGGGGAAAATGACAAAGCTGCAGGGAGCCAAACCTCATGAGCAGAGTGAGTGGTTGGCAACAATAGTGCTGATCAGGACTGAACAACAACAAAACTTAAAATGTGGTTTGCTGGCCACTGGAATTCACTGTGTTTGTGGCAAAAGTCCTCCCTCTGACACCTCAAGATATCGTATTGAAAGTCACTGCTGATAATCTGATCCCGGGGGACAAATGTATGGTGTACAAGCCATTTTAAATAACAAAACCAAAACACAATACACCTTTGTGCTCAGACACTGCAGACTCTTCTCTGGAGCTTAGCCAGAGATCCAGATAATGTGCTCTCTCTGCACAAGCCTGAGGTCCAAGCTAATATCAGATGGGTATGTGGTAAGTGTTCAGAGTGGGACTCCCATGAAACAATCTAAAACTAACCCGAGTGCTGGAAGCAGTGCAGAAGTGCATGGAGATGACTTTGAATGGTTAACAAAGGAGGCTCGCCAATTTTAAATCTGTAAACTTTTGCTTTTCATGGGTGAAGTATTTTCTCTTTAGCTGCTTAATTCAACCCAGAGATTGATGTGATCAGCCCACCACTACATTTAGAGACTTTCAAGGAAGATCAGACAGCTTATTATTCTTTTAATGGTACCGCATGTGTACACTGCAGCTAGTTTCACCATGTTAATGTTTGCATTTTGATAAAATTCTGAATGATTGACCTCAGAGTGTGTTTGTAGAAGAGTTGTGCAGTTTTCTGATCTGTCTTTGTTGTCTGAGCAGATATTACTGAGGCTTTGACTCACTGAAAGCAGCATTAACTAGGTTTATGTTGAGAACCTCAATGCTTTTTCTTCAGGAACGGGGAGTATACGCTATTGCTCCTCCCCACCCTTCACCCTTGGTCAGGCTTGCGGTTTTGAAAAGGCATTCCTCAGGTTGCCATGGCAAAGTGTGAATGACATCATTTGGGTTAGGATCTTAGCCCAGACCTCCCCTCTCTCTTTTCCATCCTTTTTCCGTCTGCTACCTCGGCGCCAGCTCCTCTCATCCTCTCAATTAAAACCTCTCTTCAACCCTTCTTACCATCCCTTTCCACTCCTCTTCTCTCTCCTTGTAACTCCTCTCATCTCCTGCCCTTTCTCCTAAAACCTCTGCTCCCCTCCTCCTCCTGCTAAACCAGTGGGAGGGTGCCAGTCTCTGCCACTTCAAAGGCTGGAGCTGATCTGTGCTTTCATCTACCAAAGAGGGACAGGAGAGTGAGGAGATGAGGCGAGAGAAGAGAAGTGGGAGAGCACAAGAGGGAACGAAAGAAAGAAAACCAAGAAAAAGGAAAGAAAATTGTGGAGAAAGAGAGAAGGAGGGAGGAGGAGGAGGAGGAGGAGAGGAGGGTGACAAAGAGGGAAGAAAAGGGTGACCAAGGAGAAAAGAGGGAGGCGGGGAGCACAGAATAGGAGAGGCCTCTATAGCAGGGCAACAATACACCTTCATTATTGATCTGACAGGGTGTATGTGTGATTGCAGAGAGTTTGTATATAAATGAGAATAAAGGACTCTATTTGCGTGTATTCATTGTGTGTGGATGTGTGTGTGCATGTGTGGATGTGTGTGTGTGTGAAAGGTTGCTAGTCTCATACATCAGAAGATCAAAAGAAGCACGGTCACTACGGTGACAAAAGCCTTGGCCCTATGAGGGGAAACACAACTGGCTGACATACTCATAAAAGACAGCCAGATGCAGAGATGCAGGTGTGCACATGAAAACATGCACTCACATACACACAAACTCCTTCATATGGTAAATATAAAAGAAGTCATTATTTTACATATATGAAAAGGCGGGTGGAGGCGACGACTGTATTTGTATTAATACTGACCCATAGAGTGAAGCATGGGACATATATACAGTAAAACATATATAAAAAACACATATATAAAAAATATTTTATAATTAAAGATAAAAGAGGGCTGTTGGAGTTTCAAAACTGGTGTTTCTTTAAAAGAGAGAAGTGCAGATTATGTTTCCTGTCCCTGGTAACAGATGTCAAGACTTAAATATACGTTTTTAATAGTGTACATATTTCATCTCAGAGCTTTTTCTTGCCATTAAGCTACCCTGCTCTGTTACAGGCGCATGTCCTGTCAATTAACTAGACAAAGATAAGTTCTGACATGCATGGAAATAATAAGACGTGGGAATGGGCAGTATCAAAATCCAGAATCATTTGTTATTGGTATGTTTGGAGATTTGGTCTCAAAAACAAAATAGGAAAGCATGGATTACATAGCCAGATATACTGCATGCACTCACAGACTAAAGAAAGCTGATGGACTCTCTGTGTCTCACCTTTCTATCAGGTGAGACTAAGAGCAACTTGCCATGATTGCTTATTGAGCAGAGCCCAACAGAGGGAGTCGCTTCATCAGGGAGGAGGGGGAGTAGCTGGTGTCTTTGACAGGCTGCTGTCACGTAGGCTGAATAAAGGAGGGCAACTAAAGGTACAGTGGGGCAAAAAAGTATTTAGTCAGCCACCGATTGTGCAAGTTCCCCCAC